CCAGGGCGGAAACCTGTCTACTCTTCCCTAATCTGAGATTCCTGTTTCACAGTGAGGCGACGAACAAGAATTGAGGTCAGTAATTTTGTCACAACTGGTATCAGACTAATGTCACTGTGGTTAGTACAGTCGGTGCGACCGCCCTTCATGTATGTTGCCACTATAATCGATTCAATCCAGGTAGCCGGGACGCTATCTTCCTTCCAGACATGCTTGAATAGAGAGGTCATTGCTTTGCAGAGGACTTCGACTCTATCCTTAAATTGCATAGCAAAGCAGCACAAATACGATTAAGGGCTGTAATCGTTTCTCGGACATCAGCCTTCCATAGATCCTCTAAACTAACCGTCCATAGATCATCCTGCATCACCCAAGTGGGAAGAGGTCCGGAAGTAGAGGGCCAATTGAACTGATATAGAAAGTGTTCCGCTCAACGAACCATACGGCGCTCATTATTGTGTATATGTGCAACCACGCTTTCTCTGATTGCCTCGCTGACGCCTGGTTTCCTGGGACCAGTGGTGCGGATTAGCTGGAAGAGCTTGTGATAAATGCCTACTGCTTCTGCCGCCTCCATTTCTTGAACCCGACTGACCCAACGTGTTAAAGTAACCACAATGGGACAATTAAAAGGATTTCTGACAATATCATTTGCACAGGTCGGACTCATGGTGCAAATGCGTTATTGATCCTACAGATTATTGGGATATTTTGCCCCACATATTTGGCATTAAACAATCGGCGGTAATAAAAAGGCCGCTCCCTGTCACAAGCCGCCCAAAGCGGACCGCCCCCTATGGCTCGCCTCCGCCTATGGGATACATATCCATGCTGATGTCCACTGGAGCACGCGACAATCGAAGAGAAATACCGAAGAAGCACACAGCAAGCAGGATCGCCTAGACACAACCTACGTCTATGGCGTACCAGATCTTCCATCATATGATAGTCAAGAAGCTGAGAACCACCAGTCTGAACAGTGGCGGTTCATTCGTGAAACAATTTCCTTGGACAACGTTGTGGCGCGATTGCTCAAAAGGATACCTCGCCCACCAAATTATGGAGGATGTGGCCCATGAATCCTAAAACTCATGGTTCAATCAGAAGAAACAACAACCGATTTCTTAAATCGATGGTAGCAAAATCAGAAAAGCCTTCCATATGAACTTCAGTTAAAAGCTGCGGAAGCTTTGCAAAGACCAGACATGAAATCATCTGAAGGAGCAAACCTACCAACAATGACACAGCCTCTACTGATCGGTCATTCACTAGATTATGATGTAGGTCTAGACAATGAATGAGACACGTTGGCCAAATAAAGTTATAGAGAGTTGTCAGTACCCCAACAAAAAAACGAATGACGGCCTATCTTACATTGGACGGTCTTCTGTCACACCGAAATCCTTTAATACTCTGTGAACTCCTAGACGCTGGAAAACTAGGCTGTTTCTGTGCCAGTGTTCAGGGTCTTTTAAATAAGCTGGAAGAAGTAAACTGTCGTCAAGTTTAGAAACCATGTGACAGTATCGGTATTACAAAGCGGTGTCCACACGCTGAATTGACGGAGGCTGATGTTTCGCTACCGAGTATGTCAGTCATCCGATTCGCAAGAGGAGAACGGGTAATTTTGTGGTACCGAAGCGACCTACAGTACGAAACTTTGGAAGACGCAGACTCGTGATTCCCGGATTCACTGGTGACGCCTTCACTTAAAAGAGCGAAACACCTGCCTCGATGTACGGTTCCTCAAACTTTACACCAGAAGTGAACTGTCTCCTCGTGACAGCTGTAAGATGCACTGTAAATGTACAATATGCTGACACCTTGCTATATGCGTGAATTTGCACCTTTTACAGAAACCGCTGCTACGATCGGAGAGCAATTCAAAGCCGATATAAGAGAGCTCAATACCAGTGTTCCGTTTTAGAATCAGGCCGTTTGCCTACTCAGTATATAACAGGTAACAGGCCATCTGTGCTAGATATTGTGATTACCGACGAGGAACATATGATGGGTGTGGATTTTGAGCGGTTCTCCGAGCTGAGTGATTATTGTGCAAACGTTTCCTTGCCTGACTAGGCAACATCATCAGTGCGGCTTCAGGGGCCTGGTTCGCAGTGCCTCGTAAGCGACTTCAATGTCCAAGTGCTTATTGATCGAGTTCTGCTTTGAATGCCAGGCTTCAATGAACTCACGTGCTTGCCGGCTTTTAGCCCTTCCGAGGATACTGGCATGCTCTATGTCGAATTGATGGTTCGCAGCATCCATATGCACTGACATCAGGGAGTTCTGATCTTGGCGACGTATGGCTAGGCTGTGTTCGTGTAGCCTTGCGACAAGCTTTCTCCCAGTCTGTCCCACGTAGTATTTGTCGCTTTTCCAGCAGCAGATCTTATAAATCACACCAGTTTCTTCCTCTTTGCACAATAATCACTCAGCTCGGAGAACCGCTCAAAATCCGCATACACACCCCGAGCTACGGATATTCCCATTTATTTCATATGATGAATGTGTTGGTTGCAAACTGGCTGTCTCTTGGGCCGCAGTGGTCACGTGGTAATCAGTTTCAGTTTCAGCGAATCATCCAAACAAAAACCAGGAGACAAAGAGCACCATCACCTGCTACGACCGTTTCCTCTAGCTTGGCAATGTCAACTTGGTGGTTTCTAGTCGAAGGCCCACCGAAAGTCACCTGGCTAGAATGCATATGAAAATGTATTTGGCTGTTTGCAAATTCCTCAGATACAAGGGCATGCAATGAACTTACCACAGTTTCTTTCGTCAGGAGCGGAGCTTGAAAATAGAGGACGGTATGCAAAGCAGCATGCGCGAGAGTATAGATCATCTCTAACACCAGAAACTTGGAACAAATACGTAGCCTAACGTAACCACTGCACGCAAGTGCTCAATGAAGACACACCCACATAATCGCAGAAGAACGCAAAAACCTTCAACGATAACCATGAACTCTAGTTAATGGCCAAAGGAAGGTGAGGCAAGGCTAACACTCCGGACGGCTGATGGACCACCATCAAAGGCTACAAAAGCAGCAAACGCGTTGGGGACGTAATATCCTCCCACATTTCATGGGATGTTGCCATCAAGCGAGCTTCCAGCATTTTGTGCTCCGGCGCTAAAACTCACCTACATTTTTCACTGCCGAAGCTGTATTGCAGCTGCTGACCTCTCAGCGCAACCACATCTCCCCGGACGTCGACACCATTCGCTCAGAGGAACTGGGAGCAGTAACAAAACAACTAGCAGAACATTTGGCCCAGTTTTTCTGCACAGCTTCGGCCAGAACCAGGTTCCTGCAATGTGAAAACTTGGAAAAACAACTCCGAATCACGAAGAAGGAAGCAGAACTGGACCCACAAAATACTGTCCAGTATCTCTTCCCCCTATACTGTCCAAGGTAATTGTATTCATCATCGCCGAAACGCTGGGGTGCCATCTAAAAAATTGTAACATAATTACCCCCGAGCAAGGCGGTTTCCAACGGCAGCGATCGTGCACAACGAAGTTACTAATCGCGCAGAGTAGTTGGATCTGTCAGCTGACGCTGGAGATGTTGACGTGATCTAATTGAACTTTTTGAAGGCATTCAACCGTTTAGATGGTTGTACTTTCCTCTCCAAGCCCCAGTATTACTGGATCCGTGCCACGCATTCCTGTTGAATCGCTCGCTTTCTCCTTCAACGATAATTAGTGATCAGAGTTCACAGCTTCTTATCTGACCACATCCAAGTCAAGTATGGTGCGCTTCAAGGCTCCTTGATAAGACCCCGATTGTTTTTGGTGTTTAGTAATGACTTTGCACAGACAAGCATTACACTTTTCTACTGTTTTCGGCCATATCAAGATTTAGTGGAATGCCGACCAGCATCGGCTTCAGAATGATTTAGATATGGTACACCCGTGGTCAACCCAAAATCTGCTACTGTGCAACGTGACCAAATGCAAGGTACTCTCCATACGACACTGGATCAACTAATCACACAGGCTCGGAACGCATGTAATGCTGAACTCGTCCGTCGAAGGCGATTTGGATGTGTTGGTTCCATCTGACATAGGTTGTTCCCGGCAATCCGAAAAGGCCTCGCAAACTGGTAACCAACCCGGGCTGTTGAGACGGGCGTACGCACAAACATCTCTATTCTCTGACAAGTGCTCAGTGCGTAAGTCCCCCTTTCATGTAGAGTTCGCAAATCAAGCTTGGCAGTCATGTTTGACACACAGCCTAAATGCATTGGAGCAGTCTCAAGATCGGACGTCCAGGTACGACATCGACGACGGCGGGTGGCCGAGTGGTCTGCGCGTTTGGTTTGCAACCATAAGGTCAGCGATTCGAATCCGCGTAGGAGTGGGCGTCCTCGCGGTATACAGCCAGCGCGACTGGTGGTGGTAGCGCCGCAGCGAAGCGTCGTTACGGCGTACAGCTGGAACATTATTATTATTATTATTATTATTATTATTATTATTATTATTATTATCACGATACCGGCACGCGCAATCTACCATACGAGTAGGGCCCAAATATTGGGGAGTGCCAAGCGAAGGGTATCAATGATTACGAGGCGACCTGTTAATGGTCTAATTGATTCTGCATGATCCATGTCATGTGTGGCCCTGCTTCCTGCAACTCAGCACTAATACAAACCTGAGAGGTTACTCTCTGGAGATAGCAGCACAGTACAGCCGACTGGAGTGCCCCAGAAAGCTTTTTTCCACTCGCGTATCTCGCCTTAAATAGGTCGTTTCTGCGGTGACATTGTTCCTTGTTACATTTTGTTATTTAGCACCATCTCCATTTTACTCATGGAAAATACATGGGATTTATGTGTTGTTAAGTGTGGGTGTTATGAGATTACGCAGATTGCAAGATTACAGCGGCGCAAACAATAAGTTCTTCTTTTTCTACCTAAAGTACTAATTGTTTTTAAGAAACTTGTTTCGATGACCCGTACAAAGTCATTGTTCATAGTGTAATCTGCACGTACCTGTGTACACCGCGTTACCGGTTCCTGCGACCAAAGGAGGCTTCTCCAATGCTGGATCCTGAACAACACACCTCCCCTCGATCAACCCGGCTGTTGTGAATGGCGTCGTGTACAACCATCGTCCATCTGCCATCAGGACACCACCGGGATGATAGGTGATGAGCCAATTGTAAGAGAAGTTCATATCTGGAAATCCATCGGGCTGACATTGGAGAGCAACCAATTGGTCACCGTGGTAAACCGGTGTGACATCGACCTTGGTTGGTGTTTCTGGTTGAAGTAAAGAGGGAAATGTCTACTAGTATTCGGTCTCGTAGAGCAGTATTCTCTGTAACCGAAGATGCAGTAAAACCACCGAAGTTCACTACCACTATATCCCGACCACCTCTGTAAGTTGATGGTCGTATTTTTCCTTTGGTTGAGCCTCCACAATCTAAAGTTTATGAAACGTAACCCCTGTATGTTGACCATTTCTCTATGTGGACCCTTTTCGTCCAGTCCCCTGGGTGAATAACATATCGTAATTACACCTGCAAGCACATACAATGAACATATTATTATTTTTTAATGAGTAGGCGGATTTGCTTATGATTTTATTTGGTCCATTGCAATTAGATTACAAGCCGTAAAGATGAGCTACCAGTCCGGAAAAGCACCAGCTGACCGTCTCGCCCTATGGGGGCGATACCCTTCAGGGGATCAAACCCGGAACCACTAGTGGCTTTCACCACTAACCACCCGCTTATGCCACTGAGCCATGGGGGGGACAATAGCCTACCATCAGGGATTGAAATCTCGCTGCGATGTAGCCCGATTCATCCTCCACTGCCACGCTTGTTACTGCCCGTGAAGAACAAAGCGGTTGTTCGTCCGGGTCAGGAATTACTTTACTAGTACCGTGAAGCCACACAGCAGTTCGAAGCTTGGTGGGGCCTAGTGTTGATTACTAATTCGTATACGTATCTAAGAATGATTTTTATTTTGCCACAATATTCTCAATCACTCCTATGGCCGTGCCATTTGCATTTACTGTGCAACCGGTACGGCCATAGTATTTCAACTTGATGCAGTTTCGTGTGGAATACCTATCGTTCATTTCGTTGCACTTGTTACCAGCAATGCATGATTCATGGAAATTAACAGCACGAGATACTCGACTTGAAACATCAATATGAACCCACCTCGTACTGCTCAGCTCAACCGTATCGCGGAAATTTAACAGAAAAATTGTCATCGATGAGAGTGAAAGAGTAACTCGCCCGAACTTCCGCGTTTGATTGCAACCCACATGCTCTTTCTTCTCATTATGGTCCCAGTTGGCTTAAGCAGAGAGCCCGGAAATCGTAGCAATGACTGTAAGCGATAAAACGCTTAGAAACCTTGAGCAATACGCGCAGCCACCGGTTATCGAAATTTAAGACCGGAACGGATTCGCAAACCCCGGGATAAGTCAAAAACTCTATGCCGGTGCAACTGTGTGTAATAGAGTGTGGTGGTTACCCTTACAATTGGCTCGCCCGCATCCTTTGCTCCCATGACAAGCTACAGCTCGGTGGCCGAAATTGTGACATCGATAGCATCCGCCCTTAGTTCTGATGAGCTCCCAACGAACGGGAACCTCGGACGCCAGGAACCTTGGGCACGATTCCGTCCTATGGACATCGTCACAAACTGTACAGACATTTCGGCTGGACTGATCAGCAACGGTATACAAGGCGACATTGTACTCCATTTCTTTATCCTTCGCTCTGGACGGTCGCACGGTACTTTGATTTCTCAAAGCGCTGCAGTTGGCTATTTGTCCAAATCTGCTACGGGCAACTCGGGCTTCGGCAGCTACAAAGTCAGCGAGATTTATGAAGAGAACCTCTCGACCCTCTTGGACGATTACGTCCGCTGCCCTTGCCCACCTTGATTGCAAGCTGCCCGGCAGGGCACGAACCAGCCACTCGATGGTGGTCACAGAGTTTAAATTTGCGGTAAAGTTCATCTGCGACAGCGCAACATAGCAATTCTCCATCTTTAGCGACAAACGAGACAACGCATCTTGGTCGTTAGTTAACAATCTTAACCCGGAGAATAAGCTATCAATCAATGACCGGGCTACTGTGTGAGACTGGCCGAAGAGTTCACGAAGTATGTTTCGAGCCCTCTCGTAAGCCTGTTCTGGGGGCAACATAACACACTCACTGATAGCCTCTTTAGCCCTGCCCTTGCAATAATAAATCAAATACAATAAACGCTGACCACTGTCACTAACTCTATCCTCGACGAAGTACTCAAACTGTTTCACAAATTTCCAATAAGTAGCCGGGTTACCATCAAAACTGTCAAACTCGACCTTAGGAAGTTCTACAAATGGTCGACAAGGCACTTGTGACAGGCTTGCAAAGGGCTTATGGATTTCCTCAATCGGCACGCTATTTCCACAATCCTCCAAGGATCTGTTCACCTGCTTACATTTAGCAGGGGAGAGTCGCTCAACCTCATCTAAGTCCTCCCCGCCATCTAGCTGCAGTTCCGTTAACTGAAGCTCAGTATCAGCCTTTAATTTGTTGCGTTCCGCTAGCTTAAGTGCCAGTAACTCCTTATGCGAACTTCTACTGGATTTACTTAAAACAATATGATGCGATCCAGAAGCAGAAGAGGCACCATCAACAATGGGAACATGTTAAACTTGCCGCGGGTCTTCAGCAAAAGTCATGATATTCGCCTTTCTCCTCGTCAAAGACATGGCGGAATCCAAACGTTGATTCAATCCAGTAGTCAAGATCCGAGTGTTGGTCAAACCGGGCTCACCAAATCAAATCGTTTGAGCACTGGTTTGACCAACACTCGGATCTTGACTACTGCATTGAATCAACGTTTGGATTCCGCTATGTTACATACAGATCGAAGGCCAAGTCAAGCGGCAGGCGTATCGGACTCTCCGCCCAAGGACCCTGGCAGTTGCCACGCTCTCTCTGCTGACGCCGGGAAAATTGCTCTGGGAATTGTACCAGTGCGGCTAGAAGGACCCTTGCTTTCTGTTGAAACATACGCTTTACTTGACAGCGGCTCCGACGTTAGTCTGGTCCAGGACGATCTACTGCGAGAGGCTGGTGTTGAAATAAATCCGGTTTCGCTGAAGATGCAAACAGTGAGCGGTACTAGTTGTCTGGAATCCGGCGTCGCCAGTTTTCGTTTGCTGTCGTTGGACGGTAGTGAGTCGATTGAAGTGCGACGTGCTTATTGCTTGAACCGTTTGCCCTTGCGTCCAGTCAAGGAATCTGTTAGTCAGGTAGCAGCTCGATGGCCACAGCTATCGACCGTTGATTTCCAAGAGCTGAAGGATTCCCGCGTTAGAATACTTTTGGGAGCTGATGTTCCAGAGGCACATTGGCAGATAGAACAACGACTCGGAGGTCGTGGTCAGCCCTTCGCGGCAAGGACCCTACTTGGATGGATAATGTTGGGTCCGGTAGATGGGAGCCGCCAAGCTCACGTGTCCATAAATTATGTACGAGAGGATGAGTTATCGCTGGAAGAGAGGTTAAGGCTTTTGTATGACGCTGGATTCGAAGATGTTGGCTCGAACACCCGCGCACTCTCCATTGAAGACAACGCCGCGCTATCGATAGCGAAAACTTCCGTACGGCTTGTAGATGGGCATTTCGAAGTGGCCCTTCCTTGGAGAAACAAGAACGCGGTGGTTGCACACAATTACGAATCTGCTCGGTACAGACTGCAGTGCTTAAGCAGACGATTGTTGAGTAATCCGGATCTCCGAGATCGATATGTGACAGCAATGAAGGCGAATATCAAGAAAGGTTATGCCGTTCCTGTGCCTCCCTACCAATTGCAGCCCCACTATTCTCCCAGGTGGTATTTACCACACCACGCCGTTATCAATCCAAAGAAACCTGAAAAGCTTCGTGTGGTCTTTGATTGTGCCGCAAAATATAGAGGGGTTTCTCTAAACGACCAGTTGTTGCAAGGTCCCGATACCACTGCGGACTTGGTCAGTATACTGCTGCGCTTCAGGACTGAGAGAGTAGCTATATCCGCTGACATTGAAGATATGTTCATGCAAGTGAAAGTGCCGGAAGCTGACAGGGGCGCGTTACGTTTTCTTTGGTGGAAAAATGACGATATCGGTTCAGAAGTGATGGAATATCAGATGACAGCGCATCCCTTTGGCGCGACTTCATCCCCATTCTGCGCTAATTTTGCCTTGTGCCAAACCGCCGTTATGTGGGGACCTCACTACAATGCCAACGTGTCGACGGCGGTCCGCCATAATTTTTATGTCGATGACCTTTTGATTGCGTTGCCGTCGGTATCGGAAGCCATAACTTTTGTAGCCCAAATCAGAGAGATGTTGAGTAAGGCCGGCTTCAAGTTGTGGAAATGGGTCTGCAGCCATACAGACGTGTATAAGGCAGTTCCGCCAGCAGAAATTGCTGAGCCTGTCAAACCGATAGCGGAAATATCAGGTTTCGTCCGGCGGACCCTCGGCTTGTGGTGGAATGCCGAGGAGGATACCTTTCTCTTTCAGTTCGGATTGGCAGAAAAGAGTCCCACGAGAAGAGGTATATTGTCTGCGGTGGCATCTATCTATGACCCTTTGGGGTTGATAGCACCGGTTGTCATGCCTGCTAAATCATTACTGCAAAGGCTATGTCGGGACAAGTTACGTTGGGATGATCCAGTCGCCGGAGAGAACGAAGAAGCCTGGCGTGCCTGGCTAAATGGGGTGAGAGCTTTAGGAGTCCTAAAGGTTCCCAGATGTATTTACCACTCCTTAGATTCTGTCGAACTGCCACAACTACATGTATTCTGCGATGCCTCAGAGACCGGGTATGGCGCAGTCGCGTACGTCAGATTTCGCACTGGTGATCTCACACTGTGTTCTTTACTCTATTCGAAGTCTAGAGTAGCGCCACTGAAAGCTATCTCCATACCAAGGCTAGAGTTGTCTGCGGCAGTTCTCGCTATCCGAGTGTTTGAGAGCGTTCGTGAAAGGGCCCAAATGAAATTCGAGCGAGTTTGGTTTTGGACCGACTCCACCACAGTTTTATATTACATTAACAACATGTCTGGCAGGTTCAGCACTTTTGTGGCCAATCGACTGTCGACCATTCACGCGTTTTCGACACCCTGTCAGTGGAGATACGTTAACTCGGGATGTAATCCTGCCGATCCGTTATCGAGAGGCACGTACTCCACGGCGCGATTGGATATTTGGTTTAGAGGACCGTGGTTCTTGGCGAGCGACGAAGATGAATGGC